CACAATTTTATCCAAATTTGCTACATGTTCCGCGAAAAAAAAAAAAAATGTCAAGGGTAACGGGCATAACGTCAACATGTGAAGGGTGCCGTTCTGTTAGGCGTTCTCTTATGAGAAATATTTTCTCTTCCACAAGATGATTCTTTTTGCGACTCTTGACTGAATGACCAAAGAGTGATTTCTCTTTGTGTTACTCTTTTCTTGTCATTTCGTTTCCTCCTCCTCATATTTTGTTTCCCCCTATCCCTGGGGGAAGGCACAAATTATCCACAACGTTGGTTAGCCCCGTTGTTCCGTGTTAAAAAGGAATACGTATACATGTATATGCCTTCTGCCCGCGCTTGTAGTCGACTCTTTTTATGAATAAATTGCACTTTGGCAACATATTTTCAGTCATTGAAGAGATAAAATCCAAGGGAAACTTTCAAAAAGGGAAACTCCACCGCTATTTTAGCATATCCAAATTACGAACTGACGAGCATTGAAGGAGTGGTGGATTCGAAATTGCAAACATGTCTTTCCTGTCCGCGTGTAAATCCCTTCACTGGAGCGATTAGCCTTTGCAAACGGTTTGCATGCATGCCATTTGGCTTATTTTTCCAGTCCCCTTTTTGTGCGAAACGAAACCAACATGTTTTTAAAACTTACGCGTGAACGTATGGGTGTCAAAATATATCAAAATGGAGAATACATTTTTTTTGTGAGGGGAAAACTAGCACTGTGGCAAAAAATGCACACAAACGTCTGCATTAAGGTGTAGCTTCCGAAAGGGTACATTTCAACTGTGCCATGCTGGATCTTTTATAAGTATAAGGTTGACAAAAGGGAAAATCCCTATCACCCCACGTATTTTACCACCTGCACATTTGCACGGACGATGTTGCCCGCAAAGAACAGCCTCCAGGGGCTGTGGATCCAGGATCCATCCTGTTTAACCATACAAAGTTTTTCTTTAAAAAATAAAAAAAAGGTGTAGGAAAATTTTTCAACAGAACAGTTGCAAAGTAGGATTTAAAAAAATGTGCAGCCCTTCTTTAGCGGCCAACTTGTGCACATCGATTTTCTGTTCCGGGGTAATAAAGAGCACATGCTGTGCTACTACATTTCGCTTCGTGCGGTTTGCAAAAATTTTGCCTCCATTAACTTATGCGTAAATGGATACCCACATATAGAAGGTCTTTCGTGTGGGGTGCTTTTTCGCAGGCGTGCTCCCTTCCGAGCGGTATGAACGAACGCAACTGTCATTTGGAGCCCCTCTTGGCGTATCCTTATGACGGTATAATAACTATTTTGTTTCCCTCATTGCAAACAAAGTTGGTGATCCGGCAACAATTTTGCAATTCTTGGAGTGAAATTATCGCCAATGAAAAAGCTCCCATAAAGGGTTATCATACCGTTTGCTTATTTGTGTGTATGCATGTGAGCCGCTTATGGAGGAAGGCGTTTTGCCTTCAGTGAAGCCTGATCATCGGGCAGATCAGCTGCCTCGGAATACCAGCATCTTGTTAAGGCTACATTTGAGCTGGATATCTATATGTTGTACGTATCATACACATCCCGATTGCTCATTCGTGTGACATCTAGTTTTTTTTAAAACCCACGAGAGCCTCTAACCTTTTTAAGCTCACGGCAGCTTAGCGAAGGCGATCGCAAAATTACACATATCTGTATATATATAGCTCAGGGCGCCATTTTGTGCTTCAGCTCAGTGTCCCAAAATATTGCTCCTTTGGTGTTATAGCAACAGCAAGGCCCCATGCTGGCATCGTGTCAAAAAATCAAGATGACCCGGAAATGCAAATAGCGAAGGTGGAGCAGATAACACAACAAACATAGCAGTGTACATTTTCAATGCTGCTCATTCTGCCTGACCCCCAATTTAAGGGCAATGGGATCTTAGCCTTGCGCCCATTTTGCTGCCTGCATAGGTAAAGGTATCGACGTTGTGCTTGAAAAGAATATGCATCAGGCAATCACGTGAACAATTGCTCGTGCCACGTACATGTACTGTGTATTAGCCCCACGTCGTGATGACGTTATATGAATATGCTTTACCTATGCATGAGAACGCGTCGAAATGACAAAAACGACTGAAAAAATGGTAAAAACAAAAAATAGTAAGCAGCATTCTTTTTTGCCAAAAAGCGATGAATTCAGGGTTGAAACTCGTTTCTATTTATTTTAAAACAAGGGTGTGTTCTGTACAGTTATGCATTGTATGTATATTTTAAATAGTATATATTAAATCATTGTACCTGTTTTAGCTTTCTTTTCTTCTTTTTTTTCCCCTTTCCTTTCCTTTCCTTTGTTTTTTTTCTTTTTTTTTTTTTTTTATTTGCCTCTTAAAAGTGAGTACAGTTGCGAAAAAGCGGAAGCATAGCGATTCTTAACCCACTTCGTCGAACATACCACCCATGTGAGAGTTACAAATATGTGTCACTTCCACGCGTAATGGTATCAACGCACGAAACAGCGTTTAAATGCTCTCGTCGGACGAAATAAAAACACAAAATTTTCCCCCAAGACGACAGGTACCTATTCGTGCAACACCCGTATGCCTATATTTATGCTTACATTTATATGTGTATCAAGAGTTCCGCATCCTATACATGCCTGTACTCAGATGTTTGAAGCCTTATAGGCACTAATACAGGTCACACCTCCACAGAACGTTTTGTTTGTACGTCGAATTTATTCATAGTCCCATGGCTTGTTAGGCATTACTTGCTGTGAACTGGCGCACAATTTGTAACGCAAAAATGTGTCCTAAGTTAATTTGTACACACCATCGCCACGCTTACACAACTTAGTGTGAATTCTTCACACACGTAACTAGGTGAAGAGGCCAACGTACTTTACACATGGCGGGATTGTTTGGCTAAGTAAGCATACGTTGAGTTAGTGAATGAGTCAGAATATGCAAAAAAAAAAAAAAAAAGAATTATGTATAAACGTTCCTGTTTTCCCATGACAACCCTAAATGTAGAAACTTTTTACCATGTCAGCCCCCAATTTTGTTGTATGTTATAATGAAATCTTAGACGTCCTCAAAAAAGAAAATAATATCAAATTTTTGTTTGGTCTAAAACAGAGACGCATTGTAAGTGCTTTGTGGACTCTGCCGAGATTGCCCTAAGAGTGTGTCATGTGTATGTCCAGTTAAAAAGGAGTCCTCTCAGAGGATGCGCAGTGGTTTGTCGTTTCGTATGCTTTATGTACGTATACAAGTACGTACGTCCCTGCGTAGCTTTAGTACATGTATATGTGTACTTGTCTGTGCGTGTACACCTGACATGCGCGCATGTGAATTCGTGTTAGTGTCAGCGTTCGTGTCCGTGTTCGTTTTTTCGTTTCACCCAGAAGAAACGCCTTTCACTCCTACTTTTAAAAACACGTGTGGACACACGTAATAAAGCATTATTCGATGAAATATACACGCAGAAGTATGTACTTCAATGTTACTTTCCCCCAACAGGAAAGGGGCGTCAAAAAAAGGCAAACACTGTTAAATAATTAACATGTTTAAAAGTGGATTTTTTTTTCCCAGTGTATGTGAAATTACGTAAATTTCTGCTACAGCTTTCTTTTTCCTTTTTCCTTTTTTTTTTTTTCCTTCCCCCCGGCGCGCCTTCAGCTCGCATTTTGCTCATTCGGACGCCTCAGGATTTGTTACGCCTATTGTCAAGTTTTGTTCCTCACCTTTACCACATTATCGTCACTATCATTGCCAGATCACCGTGGCCATCATTGCCATAATTATCTTATTTTTCCCCATGCTGTTCGCTTTCCCCTTTGTCTGTATTTCTTTGAAAGTCATCTGTTGAACATAAACATTTCTGAAGCATTTCCACTCGCGGAAAAAGAAACAGAAATAGGGGAAATGTATGTGCGATATTCTCACGATGTGTTACAAAAAGTTTTATGCACAAATGGCATGCGAGTAAAGGGGGGCATTTGTGAACAAAAAAAAAAAAATCAGACATGGGTGAATTTATGGACCCATGCAAATATGTACATAATCGATGTGTATGCGTGAGCTGCTGTATACCGCGTATTGTGTGCATATTTTTGAAATTCGCACACTTTTTTTCTTTAACCATTGTGTGAACATTTCACATGTTCCGTATACGTTTGTACGTTTATGTATGTGTACACGAGTGAGCACTCCTTTTGGGCGCTCACCGCTACCCCCACCATCCCACCCACTGGTTTGTAACAGAATTGGACATATGTTTTTAAATGTACGTGTTATGTTTTTCTACACACGTCTTTATGTGCACAAAATGTTATAACGTCGGACAGGCGCTACACTGTTATTGTTTTCCGACATTTTCTACTCGCTGGTTTTATCGTAAAAGTTGTTTACCGTTTGTGGTAGCCGGGTGAGTGTAACCGTTTCCGATTTTGTCCATTCCTTTTGCTGTTCATGTTTCACTCTTCTCTTCTGTTCTCTTCTGTATTTTTTTTTTTTTTTTTTTTTTTTTTTTTCTTTTCTCCTTTTTGCTGCCCGTTTTATGCATACCCGATGGGTTTTTATAAAAATCTTTGAATTAACACTTTAATGATTTTTTCAAGCCCAATTTTTGAACAGTTTTTTACAACTCGTATGGGGATAACATGCATTTGTCAGAAGATGGACTGAATGCAAATCGAAGTTGTGTAAATATCGTGCGCCTACACACACCTGCACACGCTTACAGAGACCTATACATTTCCACATTTATGTAGGTCCCATAAGCGTACCATTTTGGGAATACCCTTTTGTGGTCTTGTAGACTAGTGCAGGGTCGTACGTTCTTATGCACACCAGTTTGTGCTGGTGGACCTTTTATCCGTCGTTAGCGGCCGGTGAAGGGGTCTAACCATTTCTGCCCACACCGCACAGGTACGTACGCAAAGGTATACCCATCAGAATACATATACATTGGGACGGTTCTACTGCTACAGTACAGACCGCCGTGCACCCCGTATGACAAAACGAAGTGAAACGGAACAAAACAATGAACAGCATCGATGGAATAAACGATGAAGATAACACAATATGTTACCATAACTTAAGAAAAAACAGGAAGCAGCGAAGCTACGATTTCGAATACTTTGATGAATCCTTAAATAGGCAAAAGGGGAGAAGAAGGGGCAGAAAGAGAGCAAGGAAAGCCCTAAATGATCCAAACGTAATTAACAAAAGTGTAGACTCTACAAATATAGATGAAAGGGTTAAAAGGCCGCACATTAGGAAAAAAAACAAAGACGCGAATGTGCACGAACAGGAAAACATAGAAAACGAGAAAAGTGAAGAGTACATTTTCCACAAAAATGAACATGTGGAAGATAACAAACTGAACAACGTCCAGGGGATACGCCCCAAAGGAGGAGGAAGAAGAAGAAGAAAAAATTTTAACATGGACAAAAGTATGCAGTTACTTAATTCAAATGTGCCCCTCAGAAATAATAACATAAAAGTTGACCGCATATGTGAATATCTGTCCTACGAAACGAATACCACATGGAGGTACATGGGATCTACTGTTAAATTTAGGCTTATAGATGATCAGCAGGAAAAATATATTTTTTTAAAAAACATGAAAAAGCATATCATATTTGAAATAGTTAAAATTGCCATGTTCGCCCTACTCAGGGTTAATCTGAATGACAATAACATTTACACCATACACACCGATATGAATAAGACACCCTCTAGGGAGTACCCCAATAAACGCAGTAATACATCCAGGGGAAAACGCGCCTCGGGGGACAAAACCGCAGAAGGTAACTACATCGGTAGTGTCTTTCTCCCCAGTGGGACAAAACATCACGATAATAACCCTCGCAATAGTAATGGCCATATACACTGCAGCTACTACTACTACAGCACACATAGGACAGGCAGTGGTGATAGTTCTAAAGGGTTAAGGCGCGCTTCCAGCCATGGCAGCGAAAGAGGGCAGGTCCATCAGCGCGACAGGGATATCCATCACAGTAATTATAACCACATCAGCACACGCGTTACTTGTGGGAGTGAAAACAATTTGAGGAATCAATTCCCCAGAGAAAGTGACATGCCCCCCACCTGCACCTACGCGCATTATGACGTGATGGAAGACATCCATAAAAGGCTACAAGAAAAAAATGACATACTAAACCAAGGCGTAACTGTATCCGAAATTCTAGACTTTGTAAAAGAAAAATATGAGAAGTATTACGAAAATGTTAAACAGTACATTGTGACGGCACTAAATATTTATTGTGCTTTAAATATATTCAAGCTGATCAGAAGAGGAAGGTATGCCATTTGTAGGTTCGAGCATTTCAACATTTTTAAAGTGAAATATTTTAAAAAATATTTTAAGTTTTTTTATAGCTTAAAGGGGGAAGAAGAAATTTTGATGAACGTTAAGAATTATTTGAAATCTTTTTACTATGGCAAGACGGTACGGCAACTGAGGGCAGCAGGCCAAGGAAGGGGCCGTCGGTCGAGTCCGAAGGGAGGTACAGATAAAGGTGCATGCGAAGGGGCATACGAAGGGGCATACGAAGGGGCATACGAAGGCGCAAATGAAGGTACACATGGAGGGGCATACGAAGGCGCAAATGAAGGTACACATGAAGGGGCAAATAAAGGTACAAATGGAGGGGAAAAGCAGAAGCGCTGGACGAGCCCGCGGACGAGTGTCCGAATGAGCACCAGAACGAGTCCGCGAACAACTCCTCAAACGACCCCCCAACCAACTCCCCAAAGGAGCCGCAAATCCAGCCCCCAGCCGAAACAGAAGCCGAGCAACCAGCCCGAAGCGTGCGCGCAAAACGGGACGATAAAGGAAGAGCCGAAGAAAATGAACAACGATTCCCCAGAAAAGAATAAAAGTATTAAGCATGAAAATACAGCAAGGGATATTACCATCCTGGTCAATAGTGTAGAGAGTACAACGATGGACAGAAGGAACAGCAACGTATCATTGGCGAGTAAAACATGCAAGTCAGTGCCTGATGGGGATAAAGACAACCCCGCTATGAGCGCACCTTCGAACGAAGCGAACGGCATTCGGAAAAACAGAAGCAGAGCGAAAAATAGCCAAAAGGAACCAAAAACAAAGGAAAAGCAGAAGGAAAAAAAAAGAAAAGTGAATAGCACTTTAGCAACACCTCACGATGAAGAAAAACTAAAAAATGTGTGTATCGACATAAATAAAATTAATGTAAAATGTATCAGAGTGGTATACGGCATGAAACATTTTTTCTGTTCCTACGATACAAAAGAAACAAATGATGAAGAATTTGAAATCATCAAAGTTCAAAAAAAATACGACATGTTGAGAAGGTCCAGCATTGCAAACATGAATTTAAGATATAATTTTTTTAGTGGTTCCAAGAGACTGCAAAGTAGAAACGTAGTGAACTACAATGATGATAATTACGGCTCGATGGGCACCAAAAATCTACTCCTAAGAACTGATAATAGCATGAATATTAATGTCAACCTTAATAATGACGAACAAATGGGCAAGCAACCCCAGTACGGGAAACAGAAGAAACAAAATTACGAAGATGATGTAATGAAGCATGAAAAGTACAACTCTATTAATTTCAACATCAGTTATAAAACGTTGAGGAAAAAAATGATTTGCGTTAGACACTACGTAATGCCCGTAAAGAAGGAAGAACGATCGCATAAGCCAAGGAATGAACTGAAAGGAAAGGATAAACTTCCCACCGTTTCGAATGACAGCTTGATACAGACGTGCTCCATAAATTCAAACATGTCAAACGTTGTCAGCGTCGACGGTCTCTCCTCCATGAATTGCGAGAGCCACTGTTCGCAATGAAGGACCAAAAAAAGGAAAGAAAAACAGGGAGTCAATAAGGGAGTAAATTAGTCAGAAAGTGGGACAGTAACAGGATACGTTAGTAGGAGAGTAAGTTAGTATCAGCCTAGGTTAGTAACAGGCTAAGTTAGTAAGAGAAGACTAAAACGAAGACAGGAATGCCAACCCCCAGGGGGGAGATACCTACCAGTTTTCTATTTGCACACAATCCTCTTGCGTTCAATTTTGTCGGCAGCTTTGCCAAAAGGACTGCAACAGAGGAGAGAAATATTGTAGATCGATAAATGAAACGTCACCCACTCCCCACACATAGCAGTATCATTTGCGGTTTATTCGCACATATATGAAAATAAGATTTTTATCGTCATTTTTGGGGGGCACATCTAATTTGAGTAAGCCTCCCGCTAGGCCGGGGGGATGGTGTCTCTGAGCCCCGCCCCCAATATGCCCCTGTGGGCCGTGGAAGACGGGAAGAAAGACCTAATCCGTAGATTTGTTTCAAATTGGGATCCAAGCTGAAGTGTCAACCTATATGCAAGTGAAGAAGTGTGCTGGAATGTGCAACCACGTTACTTCGAGCGAAGTGGGCAGGTCGCGAACAAGTTGTAATGGATTTCCAGTTCGGGGGGTGGGTGCGGCACGCTTCTGCGAGGAACCGAACAGAGGAAGAAAAGGCTGTTCATATTGAGAAAAAATGGCGTGACGTAGCCAACCAGGGCGATTATCCAACCAACAGGCCTATCCAACAAACGATTTGCGTCTTAATTGACGTCACAATTCGCATCACAGTTTGCATCACAGTTCGCTGCTGTTTTAAGTGAAGCGACGGAGTCCCATCCGTCTACCCATAGGTGCATGCCCACTTGTGCATACACGTTGTCGCATTTAACTATGTTTCCTTTCAATATCACCATTTTGTCTTTAAGGGAAATCTCCATTTTTGTGTATCCCTTCCCCCAAAGGAGTTAAGAATCACCAGTTGTTTTATGCTTCCGTCCGTTTTATTTATTTTTAATGAGTCTAATGCTTTTTTTTTCTTTTTTTTTGTAGTGATCATTTTTTAATGAAAAGCATTTCACTTCCATTCATTTTTGCCTTTTATTTCAATGCTATTCGGTAGACCATACAAAAAAACTTTTTTATTTTTCACATTTGATTCCCCATTTTTTTATTTGATGTTTTTACGATGTTTCGTCATTTTTGCACACACTCATTTATTTTTTACTGCGTCCCGTTTTGTTATGCTTTGTTATCCTATGCTCTGCTATACTTTGCTTCTTTTTTTTTTAATCGTGCTGGAGAATTCTCCCCCTGTGCCTGTTCTTCCCGCCTCACTTTGCATTTGTCCATGCAAAATTTTAAATTCACGTGTATTTGTGTTTCAATGAACTGAAATGGTGTTGTTCATAGGATTTTTATGGTAACTGTGTAAGCGCGCATACGAATCGGTCTATGGGTCGACTGCGCTTGCTATGGGCCTAGATGAACGGCTTAATTTTAAGTTGAAGATTCGAATTATAAAAAAAAGAGGACGCGCAAAAAGGCAACGGTGCAACAGCTCAACTGCTACGCAGCCGCTACACAATAGCTACGCAACCTTCGCTTTGTAAAACGAGGGGACAGCGTGGAAATTAACAAAAATGTAGACAAGTGCTAAAAAGAGGGCGACCAACAAAAAATGGAGGTAGTGGAAGATGTAGGAAATGGCCATGGAAAAGGTGATGATGGCATTCTTTTGATAAAAATATTTCTGCCCCTTATCGTGTGAGATTTTATAATCCGTGATGAGAAAATTGGAGTCGGTGACAAACGGATTGACAATCATCTTTATGTGATTAATGAACTTCCCCACCTCGTCCTGGTACACAAAAAACTTCATAAATTTGTTAAGGCTTTCATTTAGGTGGATAATTTCTTCAGTGGCTATCATCTGGTAGGTATACCTACGCACATCATTGTGCATGTCCCTTTGATTTGAATTTTCCTCCTTGGATGATTTTACATACACATACAACGCCTCGAATATATTTCTGATATGCGCCGACACCTGGTCTGGTTTTATCTTCTTCTCTATCAAGGGTGTCTTATAAATAAAGCTTAACATCTGCTCTTTTGCGCTTAACGTAAAGCTGTCTATATTTTTTAATTCGAAATATTCATGCAACCTTGGCAGATGTTTGCTATGCGTTTTTATTTTTTCTCCCCTCAATTGGATCTCCATTTGCAGATTTTTCATCACCACTCCTTTCAGTATATCGTAAAAACGCTGCACATGATCCGGTGGTAACTTCTTACTTTGGTGAATAAAAAAATTCACATCGTTCAGACTGTCCAGAGTTAAAACGAACTCGATGTTTTCCCTAAATATGATGTTCATCGAATCAAGAAAATTATCTACGCCAAAATAATAGTTGGCGAATAAGAATAGGATGTTGTAGTTGACGTCCTCATTTTTGTAAACATGGGAAAATAATTTTATTAATTCCGTCATGGCAATCACCCGTGTATTTGTCGCTGTGCTATGGGAGGGGTGCGAACTTATAATGTTAAAGACGTTGTAATCCACCGCAATGACGATTGTTTTCCTTTTCGTAAAGAGAAAGGTTTCACTATTCTGGATCTTACTAAAGAGGGAGTTAATGTGAATATTATCTTTACTTAGAAAGTAGAAGACGTTTTTCGCACTTATTTTGTTTCTGTGTTGATTTTTCGACAGTGGCATGATGCTCACATTTCTGGTTAAGTCGAAGAAGCCAAACTTGGCCTTGTAGTTTTGGTAAATGCGCTCCACCTCCTTGTTGTTTTTTACGAAATAGACCGATTGGTTTAGTTTAAATTTTAGCAGGAACGATTGGGTGAACAGAATTCGCCTCTCCAGAAGATCATCGCTGATGAGGTTGGCGCTGCTTTGGTCATCGATGCTCCGGTTAGCAGTTCCACTATCAGTGGTGCCGCCACTCCCGAACGCCAGCCCGTTAACTCGCAGGTACTCCTCCCTTTCTATGTACAAATCCTCCGGCACCACTATCACCACGCCATTGTTATTATTTCTCGAAATAAAGTGGAGCAAGAAATAAAAATTGTTAGCATGCAGAATTTCGTACAAGTATATAATCCCAGAATACTTAACCAGCTGTCGTGAGTTGACATACTTACTGATGGTCTGCATTTTTTCCTTCACCAGCCTTTCAATCTTTGTTTCGTCATCCACCTCTAGGAGATCATCTATCGTGGAATTGTCTCTTTCAAATTTGACGTCTTTGTAAAGGGTCAGTATGTTTATCAAATTGCTTTTAATCATATAATTGCTGGACCCAACATACACGTTCCTGTTTGTCATTAGGTGAATCAGCGGGTACGCCTTCGTTTCGTACAGTCCATTAACCAAGCCATACTTAAAGAGGAACAGAAAAAACGTCAGAATGAGGAAAAAAAAGGACAAGCTCCTTGGGAATGGCTTCATTGTTCCACGATCCTATTTCTCTTCCTCTACAGTGATGTTTTGTATGGCCTGTCAGCGCGCATGAGGGTTACACCGCTACGCCGCTATGCCGATCGTCGCGTACTGTGCAAGCATGAAGAACGGCTACTGTGTCGTAGATATCTCAGCCGGTACGTTTATCTCATCATTGGGGAAGTCTCTCCTATTTCTTATTTTACGTTTTTTTCTTTTTCTCCTTTTTGGGAGGGACGGATGCGAAAGCGCTCGTTCAGATTTCTCCACGAAGGTAAAACTGGCAAGGGCATAGCAAGGCAGAGGAAAACGGCACCAGGCGGGGAGCCAACACGCAGGCAAAGGGGAGTGAGCAAATGGGCAGGTCAACGTGTGGGAGAATAAGCAGGGCAACGAATGGGAAAATAGGAAGCTAACGAATAACCACGCTGAACAAGGGCAAAAAAAAAAAACATTCATTGACGATTCAACATTTAGAACGCCAGTAAAGGCGCGTCATACAGTTGGAGCAGCTCCATTGAAGTGGAGGCACCATAGCGTTTCCCTGAAAAAATCTCTTCAGAAAATACATGGACGCGTTATTGCACTGATGTGGAACAAACTGGCGAAATATCATCGCGTTCCATCGCCTAGGAATGACTATCCTCTGTATAACGTGTGGGAACAGGTAGCGAATGCGCTCGTACTAATGCGTACATATGAACTTACACAATGCCTTCTCATTTTCTATAAGATTCTTCCTGAAAATATGGGAGAGAAGCACAAATGGGTAAAACATACACAGCGGCAACAGGAGCTCCTCACTTAATCTCTCACACCCACGACATTCCGTTATTGCAACCCTCCCCCCGTCCTCTAATTTGTATATTCCCTTTTTACGGAGTTTCTGGCAAGTCACTACACATTATTGTAAAAAAATTGTAATAATGATAATTTGACAGAAAGATAAAGAAACAAAAAAAAAGAAACAAAAAAAAAACGCAGATTAGCCTGGAAAGAGACTTCTGAATGTTCGCATTTAGTGAAAGTACTGATGCTCTGTAGTATTATCTGCCTAAGCTAGGAACACATAGAGGACGCATAGTGTTACACCATTTGGACGCTCTCCCAAAATGGAAAAATACCCCTTCATTACAGTTGTGCGGTATCTATAGACTGAAAATGAAGCTACAAATGAGCGAGCGGAAATGTTTAAAAAAAAAAGATTTTCTTCCGCTTCACATTTTCCTTCTTTATCACAAAATGAAATGAACAGCAGGTGAATTGCCCACACGTTAGCATTTACAGATGTGGTAGCTGGGTGAGCTTTCCTTTCCGGAAGGAAGAGCTGCTAAAAATGGGGGGGGAGAAAGGTTACAGGAAGGAAATATTATGAACCTCTTCCTGCTTAATCGCCTACGGTAAAGGGAAA